AAGTTGAGTATTGTTCTTTCAAGGTATGTAAAGGATTGTGCTAAAATTTTGATGGGGATTGCATTGAATCTGTAGATTATTTTTGCTAAGATTGCTATTTTTACTATATTGATCCTACCTATCCAAGGGCATGGGAGATCTTCCTATTTCCTGATATCTTCTTTAATTTCTTTTCTTTAAAGATTTGAAGTTTTTGTCATATGGGTTTTTCATTGCTGGTTAGAGTTACCCCAGGATATTTGATTTTATTTGTGGTTATTGTAAAGGCTACTGATTTTTTTTTAGCTTATCTTGTATCCTGCTAAATTACTGAAGGTGTTTATCACTTGTAGGAGTTCTTTGGTAGAATTTTTGGGATCACTTGTATAAACTATTTTATCATCAACACATAGAGTTTGACTTCTTTTCTAATCTTTTGTATCTCCTTGATCTCCTTTTGTTGTCTTATTGTTCTAGATAGAACTTCGAGTACTATTTTGAATAGATATGGACAGCTTTGTCTTGTTCCTGATTTCAGTGGGATTGCTTTGAGTTTCTATTTAGTTTGATGTTGGCTGTTGGGTTGCTGCATATTGACCTTTTTATGTTTAGGTATGTTCCTTGTATCCCTGTTCTCTCCAAGACCTTTATCATGAAGGAGTGTTGAATTTTGTCAAAGGCTTTTTCAGCATCTTATGAGATGATTATGTAGGTTTTCTTTCTTTCAGTTTGTTTACATGGTGGATTACATTGATGGATTTTTATATGTTGAACCATCCCTGCATCTCTGGGATGAATTCTACTTGGTGATAGTGGATGTTTTTTCTGATCTATTCTTGGACTCGGTTTGCCAATATTTTATTGATTTTTTTTGCATCTATATTCATGAAGGAAATTTGTCTGTATTCTCTTTATTAGTTGTGTCTTTGTCTGCTTTGGGTGTCAGGGTAACAATAGTCTTGTAAAAAAGAGTTTGCCAATGTTCTTTCTGTTTCTATTGTGTGGAAAAAATTGAGGCATAGTTCTTTGAACATCTGGTAGTAGTTTGTGCTGAAACCATCTGGCCTTGGCCTTTTTTTTGGGGGGGGGGGGAGACTTTGATAACTGTTTCTTTTTCCTTAGGGATTATAGGTGTATTTAAGTTGCTTATCTGTTCTTGATTTAATTTTGGGTATGTGGTACTCATCTATAAAATTGTACATCTCCTTAAAGTTTTCTAATTTTGTGGAGTACAGGTTTTTGAAATATGACCTGATGATTCTCTGGCTTTCCTTGGTGTCTGTTGTAATGTCTCCCTTTTCATATCTGATTTTGTTAATTTGGATATTCTCTCTGTGTCTTTCGGTTAGTTTGGATAAAGGTTTATCTATTTTGTGGTATTTCTCAAAGAACCATTTCTTTGTCTGATTGATTCTTTGCATTGTTTTCTTTGTTTCTATTTTATTGATGTCATCCCTCAATTTGACTATTTCTTTCCATCTACTTCTTCTGGGGGAGTTTGTTTCTTTTTGTTCTAGAGCTTTCAGTTGTTCTGTTGATTCACTGCTGTGGGATTTTTCCAGCTTCTTTATGTGGGCATTCAGTGCTATGATCTCAGCACTGGTTTCATTCTGTCCCATAAGTTTGGGTATGTTGTGCTGTCATTTTCATAAATTTTAGGAAGTCTTTCTATTTTTTTCAGGTGATCATTGTTCAATGTCCATGTGTTTGTGGGATTTCTGATATTAATGTTGCTTTTGAATTCTAACTTTAAGCTGTGGTGATCTGATAGGGTACAGGGGTTTATTCAATTTTTTTTTAAATCTGTTGATGTTTGCTTTGTTGCAAGTATATGGTCTATTTTTGTGAAGGTTCCATGAGGTGCCAAAAAGAAAGTATATTCTTTTGTGTTTGGGTGGAATGTTCTATAGCTGTCTGTTAAGTCCATTTGAGTCATAACCTCTGTTAGTTCCCTTATTCTCTCTGGCAGACTTGTTCAGTGATGAGAGTGGGGTTTTGAAGGCTTGATTTATGATTAAAGCTTTAGTAATGTTTCTTTTACAAATGCAGGAGTCCTTGTATTTGGGGGCATAGATGTTCAGAATTGAGATTTCCTCTTAATGGATTTTTCCTGTGATGAATATGAAATGTCCTTCTTTATCTTTTTTGATTGATTTTAGTTTGAAGTCTATGTTGTTAGATATTAGCATAGCTACACCAGCTTGTTTCTTATGTCCCTTTGATTGGAAAATTTCTTTCCCACCCTTTACTCTGAGCTAATATCTGTCTGTGAGTTTGAGGTGTGTTTCTTGTATGCAGCAGAAGGATGGATTCTGTGTTTTTGTATCCAGTCTATTAACCTGTGTCTTTTTATAGGTGAATTGAAAACATTTCTATTAATGAATATTAATGACCAGTGATTGCTAGTTCCTATTATTTTTGTTTTTTGTTGTTGGTGATGGCATTGTGTGTTCAGTTTCTTTCTATGGGATTTGCTGCTGTAAGCGCATCTATTTCCTGTGTTGTTGTGGATGTAGCTGACTTCCTTCAGTTGGCCATTTCCTTCAAGTACTTTCTGTAGGGCTGGTTTTGTTTATAGGTATTGTTTAAATTTGGTGTTATCATGGAATATCTTGTTTTCTCCATCTTATTGAAAGCTTCACCCGATAAAGTAGTCTGGGCTGGCATCCGTGGTCCCTTAGTGTCTGCATAACATCTGTCCAGGACCTTCTGGCTTTTATTGTTTCTGTTGAGAAGTCAAGAGTAATTCTGATAGGTATGCCTTTATATGTACCTAGCCTTTATCTGTTGCAACTCTTAGTATTCTTTTATTATTCTTTATGCTTATTGTTTTGATTTTTTGTTCAGTCTATTTGGTTGTTCTGTAAGCCTCTTGTACTTTCATAGGCATATACTTTAGGTTGGGGAAGTTTTCTTCTATGATTTTGCTGAATATATTTGCTGTACCTATGAGTTGGACTTCTTCTATCCCAATTATTATGTTTTATCTTTTCATGTTGTCCCATATTTTCAGCATGTTTTGTGCTAAGGATTTGTTGGATTAAACATTTTCTTTGACCGATGAATCTATTTCCTCTTTTGTATCTTCAATGCCTGAAGGTTTCTCTTTCATCTCTTGTATTCTGTTCTTTATGCTTGCTTGTTCCTGATTATTTGCCAAGCTTTTCCATTTCCAGAATTCCCTCTGTTTGCGGTTTCTTTATTGCCTCTATTTCACATTTCATGTCATGTATTGTTTCCTTCACTTGTTTGATTGCATTTTTCTTGGTTTTCTTTAAGGGATTTGTCAACTTCTTACAATATTATGTTTATATTTTCCTCCCTTTCTTTAAGGGAATTTTTCATTTCCTCTTTAAGGGCATCAATCATCCTCATAAAGTTATTTTTTGGGTTGTTTTCATCTGCTTCGTCTGTGTTGAGATGCTCAGGTCTTTCTGTTGTAGCACCACTAGTTTCTAGTGATGTCATATTACTCTTTATATTGTTGAGTGTGTTCTGACCTTGTTGTCTACACATCTCTTTCTCTAATCTGTATAGGTGGCGCTTGTGTTTCAGGGGATCTCTCCAACTGGTGTAGCTGGGGGCTGTGACTCTGTTGACCGTTCCTTCAGCAGCAAGCAGAGCAGAGCCTTTGGTGCATGCTTTTTCTGGTGGAAATGTGCCCAAGGCTCAGGCGGTCACTCCTTGAGCTGCAGGTGGGGCTACAGCTCCAGTGGATGCTACTCTCATTGGAGGCAGGGCCACAGCTCCTCTAGGTGTGGGTAGGGCTGAGGGTCCAGTGGTCACTGTAGCAACAGGGTATCTCCAGTTGAGAAATGGCTGAGGACACAGATGCTCTTTCCCAGAGGAACTTCTTGCGATAGTTTCTGGAAGCCATGGTTGGAAACTGTTTCTGTCATCTCACTTGGCAGTTGCTCCCTGTTCTTGGGCCTTTGGCTCACGGCTCCCTCTAACACAGCTTCTGGGCCTGAAGCTCGGCCCAGACTCCTTTTTTACCTTACAGATTCTTTGCATGTGTATCAGGCTTCCCATTTTGTGTGTTTCTCAGATGCCTGTGTGTGCAAAAATGTTTCTGTGTCTATATATGTTTTCTGTGCTTTTTCTTTGGCTTTTTTTCCTTCTGTCTGTCTGTCTTGTCCTATTCCAATTTGTTTGCTTTTGTTCTGACTTACTATTATTCTTTAGGGGCTTGTTTGTTTTCTAACCAGAGACAGAAAAGGTGTGGATCCAAATGGGAGGAAAGATGAGGAGGAACACAGAGGAGTTGGGGGAGGGGAAACCATAATCAGAATATATTGTTTGAAAAATAAATCTATTTTCTTTAGGGGGGGTGAGTTTTGGTTTGTTTGTTTGGTTGTGTAACAGGGTTTCTCTCAGTAGCCCTGGCTATCCTGGAACTTGTTCTGTAGACCAGGCTGGACTTGAATTCAGAGATCTGCCTGCCTATGCCTCCTGAGTACTGAGATTAAAGGCATGCACCATCACTGCCCAGCCTAAAATCTATTTTCAATAAAATAAAAAATAGAAAAAAAATCTCAAAACCATGCTGCTTAAAAATAGGTAGTTTTATGTAAAAAACAAAAACTAATTCCCTGTCACTACATATTTTAGTGAATTTAGGCAAAAATAATTTGGATGTTGAAAAAGCACCTTCCTGGGAAATCATATAGTGAAATATCTTTGACTGAAGACATCTCTGAAAATAACAGGGTGCCCTCTTTGTGGTCTCCCATCACTCACAGGAAGTTGCATAGAAATCATGTGTACCTTTTGCAAGACCCTCTCCTGGCGACCCTAAATGTTACAGCTTATGCACCTGTCTGGAGACCGAACCTGAGGCAAGCTGCATACACAGTTCTGCATTTTGTCACATGTAGAGATTCATACAATCACAACACCAATCAACATACACTACCCTCCCATTCCGGATGCTGCTTAATCCCTGGTCCCACTACTAATCATTTTTCCATCTCCATCATTTTGTCATTTTGAGATCTAAAAATAGGATCATAAAATACATGATGCACTGGTAAAAGATTGTGTCACTCAGCACAGTGCCCTTGAAATCCAAGTAGGTTGTGTTTACTAATAGTCTATGCCTTTTTACTGGTATGTACTTTATACACATCCAAGTTTATTTGTGACATTTTAATTAACAGGCTCCCCCCTCCAAAAAAAAAAAGTAACCTAGAAAATATTGTGTCATTTCCTTTTGGTCTCTGTGGTTCCTGATGAGAAATTCACTTGTTGGATTTTTTTCCTTGATGGGTGAAGGATCATTTCTCTCTGGCTTCTTTCAAGATGTTTTGCCTTAGGTTTCAGTTCAAATAACTTCTTAAATCTGTTTCTCTTTTGCCACATTTGGGGATACTTCAGTCTTATTTTTAATTACTATTACTGGAATGAAAATACTCTGACCAAAAGCAACTTGAAGAGGAAAGGGTTTATTTGGCTCACACTTCCATATCAGTGTCCATCACTGAGGGAAGTAAGGACAGAAACTCACTCACACAGGGCAGGAGGCAGGACTGATGCAGAGGCCATGGAGGGGAGCTGCTTCCTGGCTTGCTCCCCATGGCTTACTTTACTTTTTCTTATAGAATACAGGATCACAAGCCTAGGGATGACTCCACCTACAAAAGGCTGGGCCCATCCCCTCAGTCACTAGTTAAGAAAATGCCCTACAACTTGATCTTATGTGATGGGAGATGTCATTCTGTAAATATGTTTCTCTTATTGGTTAATGAATAAAGCACTGTTGGCAAGATAGGTGAGACTAGGAGACAAGGAGGATTCTGGGAGTGGTAGTAGAGAGGAGTCAAAATGTAGGACAAAAAGGAGTAAGATGTCTGGAAACACTTAGATTGATAGAAATGGGTTAATATTTAACACAGAGTTAGCTAACAAGAAACACTAGTAACGGGCCAACAGCTTTACATCTAATACAGCGTCTCTGTGTGTTATTTGGGGCTGATGCAGCTCTGGGACCAGGCTGGTGGGAAACTGCTCATAACACTTACGGGGGGCCTTTTCGCAGTTGAGGCTCCTTCTCTCAAATGACTCTAGCCTGTGTCAAGCTGATGAAAACTATCCAGCATTCACTGTTTTAGTACCATCTCCCTCTCCTCCCCCGCCACTCACATGAGTGTTGTCTTTTGTTAAGGCCCACCCCATCTCTTTTGCTTTTAGTTCTTGTCTCTGTTGTTCAAATTGGCTGGTTTCTGGTAGCTTCTCTTACAGTTTGGTGGGTCTTTCCTTTGTCCTCTCCACCCCGTGAGTGATTTCTACCCCCATCTGCTGTTGACTCCACACATTGAGTTATCTCCATCTGAAGGTGTTGCTAAGATTTCCTGCTTCTGTTTCTTTGCACCATATATGTCTGTCATATAGAGAACTGACTCCTGATGTCAGTCTTCTCTTTGTATCTAGGAACGATCATTTGGAAGAACCTCAGCTCTCAGCCTGGTTTGATCCAAAGTAAGAACAAAACAATAATGCAATTCAATTTGAAGAAAATGCTGTTGTTTTCAAACTGTAGGTACTCAAAACACTAGAACTGAGTTCTCATTGTTTCTCAGACATTTTACTTTTAAATTTTTTTTATGTTCTTTTCAAGAATCCTACACTTAAGAATGCTGTCATATTTAACGTGTCTTATCATTCCTGGTATTGTTAGGGAGAAAGCATCTTCAGGTGAAACCTGAATATGCCAATATTGACTCCTCTAAATTTTAATTTATTATCACTATAATTATCATACTAATTATATAAATGAATAGATTTCTCTGTGACATTTCCATGGATGCAAATAACATATTTTATGAGTGTCAGTTCTCCCTGCCATCCTCATTTGGCATTAATACTCTGGGGCGACCATTATTCTCTTGTAATGGCTGTGTAAAATTATGTTTATATAGTATTAACATTTCTATAAAATGTCTATAGTGCATTTCACTGACATTGTGTTATATTTACCATCTAGGAGCTATTATATTGCAACAAGTGTGTGTGTGTGTGTGTGTGTGTGTGTGTGTGTGTGTGTGTATGTTTTACAGTATGGATTTCTCACAGCAGACAGCAGTCACTGGTGTAAAAGCTACAGATTTCAAGGCATGGGAAGTTGGTTCTGTGTAGTGAAGTGGATGCTGCATGAGCATGAGGACCAGAGTGTGGATCTCCAGCATCCACATAAATACTGTGTATGTATGGTAACCAGCCTGTTGTCCCTGTGCTCAGAAAGTGGAGGAAGGGAACCCAGGAGCAGGCTGGCTAGCTCTGTATTTGGGTGAGAGTCATCTTCAACAAGAAGACACCCCATGCCAATCTCTAGCCTCTATATTCACTTGCACAGACATAAACCTACATACTTGTCAACATGGATACACAGACGCACGCACATCACACACATATACAAAAGCAAAAATAAAACACTGAAATAGAGACTGGAGAGACAGCTCAGCATGCAATAGCGCTTCTTGCTCTTGCAGAGGACCTGGGATCTAGTCCCAGCACCTACATGCAGCTCACACCCAGATGTAACTCCAATTCCAAGGGAGCCCTTGCCCTTTGTGGGCCTCTGTGGGTACCAGGCATGCATGTGGCACACATATATACATGTAGACAAAACACACTTAGGAAATTAAACTAATTAATGAAAAGATACAAATTTAAATGTTTGACTTAGGCTACTCAATGACATTGAATTATTGTAACATTTATTTTCCAATCCGTAGTGGGTAAATACTAGTAATGCTTTGTTTATTTTATGTATTTACTTGGCATTAGTTTTATAATATCAAATATTTCATTCTTGGCTATGAGCACACCTAGGCCTAGAAGAGCAAGGGTAGGGATGGTTTAATAAGAGATCAGCAATTGCCAAAACTGTGAAAAAAGGAGTCATCCCAAACAGTAGTCATGGAGGGACACAGCTGTCCAACAAAACTGGAAGAGAAGAAGATAGGCAACCTGACCTCTCTCCCTTCCTGCCCTTTGACCCTTCGTTGGTATCTCTCATTTGTAGAACTTACTAGAAGCCACAGATCAAAGGACTTGGAGTAACCAATTTACTCTCAGAGTAAAGAAAGGATGAGGATGGATAAAAAGATAAATGGAAAATAGCTAGCACAACACTGTCCTTCTACAAACTGGCATTGTTTCTCAGGACTTTCACTAACATAAAAAAGCTCATGTCCCCAAACAGGCTAAACATAAAGTTCCCTAATACTCACTCTACAAAGTAGCAGAGGAGGGGGGAAAATAAAATAAAAATAATTTACATATAATAATTCACTGCTACAGTCCTATCTCAACAGCCATTGGAGATGGCTAATAGACGGAAGTAGATAACAGTCGATTGATGGCTTCATTATGCTATATATTCTGTGGGCCACTTATCTGACTGCCTCCTTTCCCGACAACTCCGAGTCTCTCGATGGTGTGGCCCTACTGAGTTGCCACAGTTTCCCAAGGACCATTACTACTAAAAACGAAAGCATAAAGACTGTCCCAGAGGGTTTTCTGTCTTCTTTGAATGGCAGTCTCCTTTCTGTCACTTTTGCAATAGCAGTTTTTTATTTCCTTGGTAATGAGAATCATTTCCCTAGCCAGGATATTAGTTACCTTTTAATTCAACAGTTGAGAAAACTCAAATGACCTGTAGGTGGTTTTATGGGATGGTGACTTTATTCCCTGAGGAAGGAATTCCTCCTATGAGAACTAGTATGTGGCAACCCATGGAATCTAAATGCTATAAGCATGGAGAGCCAAATACTCTAGAATGAATTATCTAATGTAGTCAAGAGCTGGACACTTTCCCATATCCATCTACCCTTATGGACTGTGTACTTCAGCTTTGGAAAACATGTCATCTGAAAAAAAGCTGCTCACTGATTCCGAGCACCCTGGGGGTTGTACCCCAACCTTGAACAGAATTAGCTCTGAACTTACACTGAAACGAAGACTTAGGGTAGGCTAACTGCTTCTGAACAGACAGACACATAGTAAGGACAGAGACTGCAGTGGGAATGAGCCAACTGTCACCACACTTCACCATGAAATTCACCTCCTTTTCAGTTAGGCAATGTGTATGACAGCAGACACTCAGTGCCTGCCTGAGTTCCATCTTACTGAGGGATGGCCGGATTGTTTAGCCATGCACTGTCTTTGTTCCTGTGGCTGGGGCCACTCTGTGCATAGACTCATTAAGGCATTACCAGGGTTGACTAGCAAAGGTGTCTTGAGGACACAGAGGGCAGCTTGTGTTGCTCACTACAGCTTCCAGCCAGCATTGCCTCTCAAAGCTTCATGCTGAAGAACTCCCAAGTTTTACCGTCTTATCTTTTGTTAAGCATTGTCATATTTTAAATGTGTGTGTGTGTGTGTGTGTGTGTGTGTGTGTGTGTGTGTGTAAGTGAGCATGACTGCAGAAGGGTGGAAGGCCTGTTGGATCCTTTGGAGCTGGGGCTACAGGTGATTCTCAGCAGTTCTGCATGGGTCCGCTAACCAAATTCTGGTTAAGAGCCGGGTATACTCTTAACCACTGGTTCATAGCTCCAGCCCCTGAATTGTGTGTGTGTGTGTGTGTATATGTGTGTGTGTGTGTGTGTGTGTGTGTGTGTACATGTGTGTGTGCATGCACATGTGTGTGTCTGTGTGTGGGCAGAGACACTAGGTGTCTTCCTTTATCACCATGTCCCTTCTATTTTGAAACAGGTTCTCTCACTGAACCTGGCTAGGCTGCTAGCTCTTCCACCCTCAGGGCTCTGTCTCTGACCTCACTGCTGAGTAAAAGCATGTACCACAATGCCCAGCTTCACACACACACACACACACACACACACACACACACACACACACACACACACACACACATCCCTACCTCATGAGTGTGAATGCAGGAACACACGAAGACCAGAAGGTGGTGATGGGTCCACAGGGACTAGAGCTAAGGGGATTGTGAGCCACCGTATGTGGGTGTTGGGAACTCAGCAGTGTCCTCTCCTAGAGCAGCACTGTTGAACCTTCTCTTCAGTCAGGGTCCAGCTTTTTACATGGGTGCTGGGGGTTCAAATGCAGGGCCTTGTGTTTGTACAGCAAGAACTTTTCCACTGAGTTATCTCCTACACTCAGCAATTTCTTAGCAAGGGTCTTTAAGGGAATCTTTTCCTTTCATTCTGGAAAATAATAATAACAATCTGATTTATTGAGAAAAAACAGTAATTTTGAAAACTTTCTTTTTTCAAATCGATTTTTTGGGGGGCTGGAGTTATGTTTACATATAACTATATAAGTAAATACATGTTAAAAACATTCTTAAAGAATTTATTATGGAGTTTTATAACTATTATTTGATGTGGGGTATCCTCCTGTATGCTGTGAATATGTTTTATTACTAATGGTTAATAAAGAAGTGGACTTAGCCAATAACCAATCAGAGTAGAGCCAGGCAGGAAATTCAAGCAGAGATACAAGGAGAAGGGCGGAGTCAGAACAGATACCAACAGATGCTGAGGAAGCAAGATGTGAGGTAGCAAGCCATGAGCCTTGTGGTAAAATACAGGGTAATATAAATAGATTAAGTTAGTTGTAAGAGCTAGTTAATAATACATCAAGCAGTTTGTAATTAATATTAAGCCTTTGGGAGTGGCAGATAGAGTGAAATGTCTGGTTACAACTATTAATAAATGAATAAGGACTGCCAGATTGTATCCTTGTGTAGATATAGATTTGTACTTAAATTTACAATCTCATTTGCATTCAGTTCCTTCTAAGACGTGTATCTTAGACTGATTATTTATTACTGTGAAAAATACCGTCATGTTGCTATTCATCAGAGACAAATCTAGTACTTCTCTTTTTGTTCTAGTAGTCTCATCTTCTTCTACATTGCATCTGAGTGCCTAAAGCATAAAAGAAAAGTTGAAAAGGGAACAGAGAAAAGTATGCATGTGTGTACACTTGTGTTTGCATGTGTGTGCAGGTGCCCAGAGATTGATACCAAATTGTCTCTTCTTGTATTTTTTTTTTTTTTTTTTTTTTTTTTTTTTTTTTTACTCTTTGAGGGCCCTACACCCAGCTCCAAAATAAATACATGGAGATTTAATTTTATTCACGAATGCTTGCCTTAGCTTGGTTTGTTTCTAACCATCTTTTATCCAGGTTTTTTTTTTTAACTGCACTTTGCTTCTGGGGTTTTTACCTTTCTTTATTCTATATATCCTTCTTTCCTTCTTTGTGGCTGGCTCCTGGAACCCTCCTCTCCTTCCTCTTTCCTTGCTCCTCCCCACTCTCTCTGGAGCCCAGATTTTTCTCTCTGCATGCCAGCCTTAAATATCCTTTCTCCTGCCTAGCTATTGGCCATTCAGCTCTTTATTAGACAAATCAGGTGTTTTAGGCAGGCAAAGTAACAGTTTCATAGAGTTAAACAAATGCAACATAAAAGAATGCAGTGTATCTTTGCATCATTCAACAAATGTTCCACAGCATAAATGAACGTAACACATCTTAAACTAATATTCTACAACATCCATCTTCTTCAGTCTTATATATGAGACAGTTTCTCACAGAGTTGAGGTTACTGAGGGCAAGGCTGGGTGGCCAGTGAGTGAGTACTAAGGATCCTCCCGTCTCGCCTCTAGGTGGCCACTATACCCAGATATTTTGAAGTAGGTCCTCATGCTTTCTCAGACTGAGCCATTGCTCCACTTCTGCAAGGGGAATATTCTAGATCTTCTTGTGGTGGGGGGAAGGGAAAATTGAAGTTAAAAACATAGTAAGTACTCTACAAGCATTAGCTAATATCACTCTCATAACTTCTACTGTCACAATAAGATAATTTGCTGGTTTTTTTGTTCTTCTTTGTTCAACAGAAAACGTCCTGATGTTAAAGCAACAACTGATTGGCTCGCTCCAGTCATATGGGAAGGAACTTATAATAGACAAGTTCTAGACAACTATTATAAGAGACTGAACATTACCATAGGCTTGGCTGTCCTTGCTACTGGAAAGTATGCACTACTGGTCTTGTCCTTTACATTTTGGAGAGTTGAGGATGAGCAACCATGGACTGTCTCCATCCTCAACTGCTTCCTATGAACTTGCCTCTACTTCTGACTGCCCTTGTTAGCTGTGGGTTGTTGTTGTCTTCTCCAGAATTAGCAACTCTCTTTCCTTTTCTTCATCACAAACTTTGTCTTTTCTCGGGCCCCAAGCATTCTATATTTTCTTTCCCTAATTAATATAGCTGAAGTTAGATATAACCTCTCTATCTTTATCTTCTTAAACATTAGTGGCATGTGTGTTAACCAGCATGCTAAATGACATGTATCTCCTGGTGAATTTCAGTGAAGTCTTTTTCCCCCCATTTTTCATAGATTTAAAAGACAGAGCCTGAAACATTTCATAAAATCTGCTGATAAATACTTCATGGTTGGCTACAATGTTATCTTTTACATCTTGACCGATAACAGCTTCAATCTACCATACTTAGAGCTGGGTCCTCTTCGGTCATTTAAAACATTGGTGCTTCCTGATAAAGATTACCAGCAAGACTATATTCTCAGAAGCATGAAGAACATGAAAAGTACAATCATACGTCACATCCAATATGAAGTCAACTTTCTCTTCACTATGGCTGTGAATCAGATCTTCAAGAAAGACTTTGGAGTTGAAACCTTGGGCGAATCTGTAGCTCAACTCCATGCATGGTGGTATTTTAAAACCCCCAGAGATTTCCCCTATGAGAGAAGATTTAAGTCAGCAGCCTTCATCCCTTTTGAGAAGGGAGATTTCTATTACCATAGAGGTATTATTGGTGGCACACCCCGTAATGTTTTAGCTATTGTTAAACAATATCTAAAGGGAATTGCAGATGACAGCACAAATAAACTTGACAGCACATATGAAAGTCACCTAAATAAATACTTTTTAATCAATAAGCCCAGTAGGGTGTTATCACCAGAGTACAACTGGAATCCAAAATTTAAAACTCCTCCACAGATAAAGCACATTAAGATAGCATGGCAACCATAGATCACTTGATGGTTGTACCATGGGGTTTATCAATTCACAAGTAAATAACAGGAAATACTCCAATATAAAACCTGGGACACTAACAAAAATTCATAATCTTCCAGAATAAATTATCTGCCTTTGAAATTGTAATTCTATTTCATCTGAATAAAATAAATGGATAAGTGTTACTTATGTGATGTAATGTTTTATGCAGACACTATAAATAATGTGAGAATTATTTTTGGTGATATAGATTTTTTTATTAAAAGTATATTTTTATGAAAAAATCATACACATGTCAAAGGAAGCTTAATATTCGTCACTTTGCTCATCTTGTTGTTTAGGAGATATATATTTCTTATGATTGATCTCCTTGATCAGTATTCAATTTGCCTAGGATTGATTAAACTCAGGTGAACTGAAGACATCATACCATAGATCTGGCTTCTATTGCTAGTGATTCTGAGTTTGTTTGTTTTTTTTTTTAATTTTTATATATTATTCTATGTGTATAGATGTCTTTCCTGCATGTATATCTGTGCAGTGTGTGTCTGTGTAATGCCTTCTGAGGCCAGAAGAAGGCATCAGCTTCCCTGGAACTATTTAGCAATCAGTTGTGAACTGCCATGTGGGTGCTCGGAACCAAAAATGGGTCATCTAATAGAGTGTTAAGTGTTCTTAATCACTGAGCCATCTCTCTAGCCTTGAGTTCATGCTATTTTTTAAGGATACAAAAGGGTGATAAAGAAAATTTACATTGTCCCCAAGGAGCCTATAGTCTAACAAAGCAGATAAAATTATTCAAGAATATTTCTTTCACAAATTTAAAAGTTAAAAAGAAAATCTTCAAAAAAGATGTGACTAAAATGTAGTGACTTAGAAACAGAGGGAGCACCCTGGAGAAAGTGTAATCATCTTGACAAGGTCATGAGTGCATCTATAAATGCAGTGAGCCACTATCTCAGTACAGTTACAAGAACTGGAGATTAGGGAGTCATAGTAGGTTATCTGTATCTCCTTCTATCAAAGAGAAGCAGGGGTATTGCTAGTATCCTTTAAATGGAGTGTTAATGGAAACTGTCTGGGATCGAGTCAGGGAGATCTACAATGGCCTACAATGAGCCACTTCTTCCATTCATGACCTTATGTAATATGCCTCCCCTACAGTCTCACTTTAGAGTGCATGAATGCATGAGTGGCTTCCAACCAAGAGAACAGGGCATGCCCCACTAGGACTAACCTATAGAACTCCGTGACTTCTCCCTTACTGCAGACCTTTCCTATTGCTGTTGTTGCCACAGCAAACTGCCATTTTGGAGAGGCCCTTGTGATGTGCCCACAGGTGCTGGCCAGCCCATGGGCTCTGACTGACCCAGAGCAGAGCACCTACCACATCCCACCTAGCAGGACCAGGCTTCTGTAGGCAGGGTCCATAGGACCAGGCAGCAGTGTCCACAGTAGCAGGTAGACAAATGGAGAGGTCTGACTTCACTGAGAAGCTGGCTCTAGCAGCAAGGTCGGTCCCTCTGTGGGGTGAAAAGATGTACAGCCTTAGCTGGGGAAACCTTCCCTGCTGGAGCAGAGCTGTAACACCTTTGCTGGGGAAACCTTTCCTTAGAGCAGAACTATGACACTTCCCTCAGAGCAGAGCTGCAATGCTTACATTTGGTGTCATAACTCGGATAGGCTGCCGCCCGGTGCCTGTGCTCTCTGTCATCATCTGAGCCACACTGGGACCCTATCCCTCACCTCTGGTCCACCTGAAACAGACTCACCTTCCAGCTCACCGGTCTCTCTGCACCCTCATCCACCAATGGCAAATTAGGTAAGCTTCCACTTTGGTCAGTGTAAACGTTTCTCTGAGTCTGAGGAAGTGACATTGAGTGTCTGGCACCCCTCTGTACTCTTGGAGGCAGAGGCATCTTCAGGCGCAGTCTTTAAGGCTACAGCTGGCCTTTTTCACCTGGCCCTGTCCCATCACCCTCAGAGCTGTAAACCTGCTCTTTCCTTAGGCCCTTCCTGCCCTCTTCTCCCATCTTCCCTTTGGAGCTGCCCATAATCCCACAGCTCCTCTAGGCCCTTGTGGCTTTTGCAAACCCCGTTCCTGAGCCTTTCCATGGATGAGGCCTCAGCTCAGGGCTCAGTTTTCATCCTCACCTTCTGGCCTCTATGAAAGCTCTGCTTCAACCTCTCCAGTGGCTGTGTGCTGGATAAGCTGCCACTCAGATGAGGTCATCCATTGCTGTTTGTTCTTTTACATGCAAGTCTCACCTGAGGAGAACTTTGACTCTGCCAGACTTTTGGGAACTGCATCTGGCTGCCTTAACAGGGTTTCCCAGTTGATTTCTGCTGCATGATCTAAGAACCAAATCTGATGATGCTTTGCTATGTATCCACCCACCCTTGATATTTATTGTTTTACTTTATGGCTTTTTATATATTTAGTAAGGTAATTCATTCAAAACCAAAAGCATGACTACGGTAACTCATTCTCCAAATCAAATAGAAGAATACATAGTCTACGTATTCTCTAATACGTATTCTCTAATGATACATAGCCAAAAGAATACACACACACACACACACACACACACACACACACACACACACACACACCACCTCTTACTTCCCTTGCTGGCAGGTAAGGCAGATCTTCTTTAAAGACTTTCACAGACACAGTCAGAAATAATATTTTACCTGTTGTCCACACTTTAACTCGCTCAAGTTGATGCATAGAATTGACCATCACAGGTTGCTCTCTCAATGACGTTTGGAGAAGAGCAAAGCGCTTATCAGTGGACACCAGTGGCCTGAGGGGAGGATGTTTAAATAAGCAATAAGCACAGGACAGGAATTTCCAACATGGTGAGACTATTCTGCAGGCTACTGTGTCCATTGCTATGTGCTATTATTCATGCTTTAAACTCATAGTTGTATGACATATAGCGAACTTAAACAGCACTTAGTGCCTGCAGGTTTTTGTTTTTCAAAACCTCACAAGAGTCCACAGGTTAAAAAGTAGACTGTGAGAAATAAATAGAATTGCCTCAGTGATGAGGTAGAGAAGAAAATATACTAATATAATTTTACAATTCTAAAAACAAAAGGAACTATATATAAAGATTGGACTCTAGGTGATAAAAATTGTTTCCCAAAGAACACAGAAGCCAAAAAAACAGAGCTTCCAAAGGGACAATTTGAATAATAAGATAATGCAAGTGTATTATAACTCCAACTATAAAGAAGATATCCATATGGGTCTGAAAAAGTAAATTATTGCAAAATAACTCCAGATAAATCATGTAGACACTCGATCCTCAGGGAGGGAAGAAAAACTCTCCACTCCCCAACCATTTACATATAATGACTTCCTTCCAGACATATCAATATGAAAGTTGAAAGAGAAGGTAACTGCAATGAAGAAAATAAAACTACCGCAGACAAAGTTGACACCAATAGGTGTAAGTTGTATAAATATCATCCGCCCTTCATATGATGTATAACTCACTGTGAAGAGTTGAAATAGGTCCCTCCAAAAGATGTATTAAAGTTCTGGGTCATGGCCATCTGGCTGAACCTGAAAAGAAGGGGCAGATTTTAATATCAAAAACAGAGAAGATACACACATGAAAAAGAAGGGAGAAATGAAAAGCATTTCTTTCAGACTTCATTTATTCATTTATTAATGTTTGTATGCATGTGTTGATGTGTGGAGATATGTGTATGAATGCAGGCACATTTATGCTGCAGCATGAAGTTTTATTATCCATTCACCAGGTGAGGGCATTTTGGTTGATTCCACCCTTAGCGAACACAAACAGAGCAGTGAATACTGCTGAGCAGTCTGTCTCTCTGCAGTCTGTCTGCAGTCTCTCTCGGCAGTCTCTCTGCAGTCTCTGCAGTCTCTGCAGTCTGTCTCTGAAGTCTGTCTCTCTGCAGTCTCTCTCTGCAGTGTGTCTCTCTGCAGTCTCTGCAGTCTCTGCAGCCTGTCTCTGAAGTCTGTCTCTCTGCAGTCTCTCTCTGCAGCCTCTCTGCAGTGTGTCTCTCTGCAGTCTCTGCAGTCTCTGCAGTCTGTCTCTGAAGTCTGTCTCTCTGCAGTCTCTCTCTGCAGTGTGTCTCTCTGCAGTCTCTGTAGTCTGTCTCTGAAGTCTGTCTCTCTGCAGTATCTCTGCAGGAGCAGTCAGCTCCTACACACAGCTGAGACATGCAGAGGATCCACTTTCAGCTTTTCAAGAATTCTCTTCCCTGACTTCCAGAGTGGCTGTGGAAGTTTTCAATCCCTCCAATAGTGAGTGCACATTCCCCTTTCATCCTCTCCAGCATTTACTGCTAGCTGGTAATTGTTTGTTTTCTTTTTTGTTTTTTTCTATTTGGGGGGCGGGCAAGCCAATATGTTTGTTTATTGAGTCAGTTATAGAAGTGAGGATGAGGGGTTACTTGAAGGAGCATGAGTAACTGAAATGCATTTGTACCATTGGAAAAATCACACTCCGCATAGGGAGATGACATCGTGGGAGAAGAGTCAGTGGTGTGCTCCACTCAGGCAACTTTCCACTTCCTGTGTACTCTAGTACCACCTGCCACCCCAGAGTCCAGTGACTCCCATTCCCTCTGCTACTAGAGTGCTTGCAGGCCTATTACACATATCTCGGTATCAATTTTCACATTTTATTGCCATCATTACAGAGGTCAGCATAGTCTCTAAGTCACCTCAGCATTCTCTACTCCATGATGGACAACAGGCATTTGATGTCCAGAGGAAACAGCTATCATACAACTCCGTTTGGGAAAAAGACACTGATAAATTAGTTTGCCATGAGTCTCAAGGAAATTGGAGAATAATGGATTCTAAAGAGTGCAAGGCAGTGGTGGCATGCACCTTTAGTCCCAGCACTTGGGAGGCAGAGAAAGGCGGATCTCTGTGAGTTCAAGACCAGCCTGGTCTACAAAAGTAAGTTCCAGGACAGCAGGGGCTACACAGAAAAACCTTGTAGGGAGAGGGAGGGGGAGGGGGAGGA